TTGGAGAACTACTTGAATCACCACTGGAAAAGGAAATAGAATGAAGGTCACTGACTAAAATTTTGCTTTTAGCAAAGAAGCATCTCAACTAGGGAGGGAAAAAGGTGAGTAGAAAGTTAGTTAATTGGAGAAACTGAGAAGCAACAAAAAGGGCTATATCATGGATGGAGCATAATGCAGGGTAGTATTATTATTAATTGAATATTTACTATGTAGCAGAAACAGTGCTAAGTACTTTACATCATAATCTCATTTAATCTTTACACTAAATCTGGGAGGTAGGTATTGTTAGCCTCACTTTACAAATAAAGAAACAGACTTATATAGGTCAAGTAACTTCAACAAGTTGATCCAGGGAGGTTTACTAAAATGTCCAATATCCTAACTCCAATGTTATTTTGTCTCCATGTTGCTTCTTCTAAAACTGACTACTTTGCTAGATTTTCCCCATTACGATAATTTTTCTCATGAAGCACACAGTGATTCAGCTCTTAGTTCCCATCTGCATACAACTTCGGAGATCAAGTGAATCACTTCAAATCACCAAATGAATTTCATATTGTTGTGTATTCATAAACCATAATCTGACCCACATCTGCTATCTAAAAACAAAACAAAACAAAAACCTGCCCTTGATCACAGGAAGGTCTGTACTCAATAAAAACAAGTTAAAAGATAATGCTCATATTACTTTGAAAAGCTGTTTGGCAATATCTGCTAAAGCTGAATATATGCACACCCTGACTCGGCAATTCCATTTTTAGATGTGTACCCAACAGAAGTGTACACGTATGTTAACCAAAAGACAAGTTCAAGAATGTTCACAGCAGCACTATCCATAATAGCCTTAGGCTGGAAACAATTCAAATGCCCATCAATGATAGAATGGAAGAAAGGATAAACTGTAGAATATTCACTCGGTGGAACAAACAAACCATGCCTAGGTTCAACAATATGGATGAGTCTCACAAACAAAACGATGAATGAAAAAAGTTAGAAAAAAGAGTTCACACTGTACGATATGGAAAAGCAAAACTTATCTATGGTATTAAAAGTCAGGATAGTAATTACTCCTCAGAAGGGCAATTACTAAAAAGGGGTAGTGAAGGGGAGTAGAGTTTCAGAAATGCAGATAATGTTCTGCTTTTTTAATCTGGGTGTTGGTTACCTAGAATGCTCATTTCGTGAAAAAAAAATCAAGTTTTACATTAATTTTTGCACATTTTCTCTTATTTTGTTATATTTCAATAAAAAGTTACTTTAAAAACTGCAATGTTTTATTGTTGGCAGACAATAAAACATAGGTTTTTTTAAAAAATGATTTTAATTTTAATTATTGGATCAAAGACAATCTACAGAGAGTTTTACTCATCTTAATACAAGAAAATGCATTTTTAAACTCTAGTTTCACATCCTGTAGCCCTCCATCTTCAATTAAACAAGGGAGTTAACTCAGTTCATCATATATTCAAGTTTAAGTAAACATTTTAAATAAAACTGTTAATAACTAGGAGCTTTTGACTCAGGCTGCATTGCCAAAGTCTATAAAATTCTTCTCTTTTCTGCTAAATTAACCTCATATTCTTTACCTCAGAAAAATGAAGAAATCCTTAAAAGCATGTAGCTTAAGAAAGCATGACATGATAATATGCCTTCTAAGAGTAAAGTCTCAAACTCAATTTCTTTTTCACTTTGCAAAAGGATCTTTGAGTAAAATATGTTGCAGACCAATACATTTTTTTGTCAGAATGATGAACTTTGAAAAATTAACACTTTTCCATTCTGAGAATTTCCTAACCTTCCATTTGTAACTAAACTTTAATTCATAACCATCAGGATTGGAATTGTTTTCTTAAAAAGAGAAACTATGACAAAAACAAACACCCATGGATGATCTATTTAAGACTATGTTACTATTTCTTCTCCTAGAATATTTCATCACATATGACAGAATGGCTTGTGATATAAATATTATATTAACCACAAGAAGGAAAGGGGCAAAGAGAAAACACAGACAGGCAGGAAGTGAAAGTTTATTTAAAAATTTCCTTTGTAAAATAATCCTTGACAAAGATGAGTTAATGGAAAGAACGAATATCCTGAAGCATGCTACAATATTGTCCCCAATAAAAGTTTATTTTGAAAAGCTCCTTTACTTTGTTAAGGAATGTTATAATTTATTTCCCTGGATATAATGATGCTGTGATTACAACCTACTCCCTGTTTTGGAAAGCTATGTGACTTCCTTAAACAGCTACAGAGTACAGGTTTAAGGGGAGGGAAAGTAACATCTATGATGCTCTTACTAATTTTAACAAACATTACAATCTTTATAACACTCTGATTATGAATCACAGTTGACAAGTGATGGGAAGGATTATAAATTTCCTTTTTTTGTACCATAAATGTTGCTTATTTTCTCAGCAAATGACATTAGAAATTCAAATATCTTCAAGATAAAATTTCATGAGAAACTGTTAATCTTTGGTTCCAGAAGACCCATGGACAATGCTCTGATGCCAGGTGGGCCACCATTCAGGCAGAGACAACTTTAGAAAGTCACCATTCCACTGCAACTAAAGGACATTCAAATATCTTCAAGATAAAATTTCATGAGAAACTGTTAATCTTTGGTTCCAGAAGACCCGTGGACAATGCTCTGATGCCAGGTGGGCCACCATTCAGGCAGAGACAACTTTAGAAAGTCACCATTCCACTGCAACTAAAGGATAGCATTACTACTCTACCAAAAGTGATCGAGAAATCCCACTTAGCTGGTAAAATTAAGCACAGTAATTTTATTCCCTTTTCTATAATGAACACTATAGAACCAATCTAGAATGAAATTGGATAATCTCTTTCAGCAAAAAAATGTGAAGGGATGATAAGTCACCATTCCACTGCAACTAAAGGATAGCATTACTACTCTACCAAAAGTGATCGAGAAATCCCACTTAGCTGGTAAAATTAAGCACAGTAATTTTATTCCCTTTTCTATAATGAACGCTATAGAACCAATCTAGAATGAAATTGGATAATCTCTTTCAGCAAAAAAATGTGAAGGGATGATAATAAACATTTGTAAGCTCATACTATATATAATGCAAAAACCATTAAAATGTTATACCCCCACTTTCCTATTTTTATGAAATACCATGAAATATTAAACTCAGCTCAGTATGTAATATATAGAACCTATCAAACGGTATGTATCAAAACTAACTTTTAGTATTAGCCTGTTTTAAGACTATAGAACTCAAAGATGTGAATTTGGTTTTAACTTTCAAAGAGTATTGCACTAAAATAGGGGAGTCAGAACTCTACCGATTTGGACAATCAGGAGAAGTAGAACTTTTAGTACAAATGCCTAAATATGTTTTGTGTATATCGTGATCACATCATGTTGACTCTGAATAAGGTTGTAGCTCCTAATTCTGTATTCTTCCTTCAGGTTAAGTTTACCAAGACATTTTATAAATTATTTTGTAAATAAAACAAATAGGAGAATTAATATGTTATCAATCAGACTCTCTAGCTATAATATGTTCAGGATTTGGGAACCTATTCTGTGAGCCTAGCAAGTCACCTAATCCTTCTTCATCGAAGTATGCTATAAATGATTAAAAATACCAAACGCTTACAAAATGCTCTGCGACATTCAGGTACTATGCAAAACACTAAATAGAGCCTTTGAAGAGCAAAAGCCCAGCTATGCTTGCATATAAAATCCTTATTGTTGTTGTAGTTTCAGAAATAAGTTATGTTTTATTTAGCTATTACACTTTATCTTTAAATCTTTTTTTTTTGCAAAACACTAAATAGAGCCTTTGAAGAGCAAAAGCCCAGCTATGCTTGCATATAAAATCCTATTGTTGTTGTAGTTTCAGAAATAAGTTATGTTTTATTTAGCTATTACACTTTATCTTTAAATCTTTTTTTTTTTTTAACACTTAAACTTCTAATTCCTAGGTTGATTAAAATGGTTAGTTTTCTTTTAAGAAAGAAGAATCCATACCTAAAAAAAAGTATAGTAATACAAAACACTCTAGATTATATTAAGTTTATAATCATGTTCATAAGCTTATATTTCTGATTACTTCAGCTTTTTAAGACAACTATATTTTAATACACATTTCTACTTCCATTAAAAAAAACATACTTCTGGGCTAGACAGTTAACTCAATGGGTTAGACTGTAGCCTTGTAACACCAAGGTTGAGGATTTGGTTCCCCGTACCAGCCAGCCACCAAAAAAATAGAAAAAACATTACATTCTTCTCATCCAGCAACTTTCCTATCACTGCTAAGACTGTCACACATTTTAATGGCCAATATAAGATGTATGTATGTGTAATGTTACTTATTTCTTTAAAAGAGTAAAGTAAGTAAATACAGGCACCCAAGGAACTAAAAGCAACAAAATAAACAAATGCAAGGGATCTTCAAAAAATTCATGGTAAGATTCGTATTATCTTTTAATTCCATTTTTCCATGAACTTTTTGAGGTACCCTCATATAAACACCTAAGGAATTTTGCAAAGTAATTTCTTAAATATTCTACTGTCTAAAAATATAATTATACAACATAAAAGCTTTTAGTTTATCAGTTTTCTCATTGTCTGGTGGGAGCCTCAAACATCATATTCAGAGAGATATCTTATGAATTGAATTAGTTACTGTAAAAATCTCATTTATATTTACTCTTGAAGTGTAATTCCATTAATATTGAAAACACCTATATAGGCTTATTATAAATTTAATTACACAAACTTAACTGCCTCATTTTACTTGATAGGGATTTCATATATCTTAATACTTTTACTCCTCACAAATAACACAATTACAATTAAAATAGTTTTTACTAATAATTCAAATAGAACTTTTTGGTCAGTGAGTATTCATGGCTTAAGGTCATAGGAAAAAAGAAAATAAAACTGTAACCATTTAAGCAGAAACTATTTTCTATTTTGGTTTAGGTATGAAACATGGGAGTCACTCTACCTCACAAAGCAGTAAGTCAATGATGTGGAACACCATGCAGAGTGGGAACTTGGCAGTAAACAGAGTAAGAAACCACTGGGATGCATACATATGAGCTTCCAGGTTCAGATCACAAAAATGGCTGTGCAGGTCCGGTAGCTGTTCCTAAAAGTCAAAGTGGAAAATTTAGGGGGAGGAGCACAGAAGAATCTTAACTTCCTGCCACAACTGCAATTTATAACAAGTTTTCTGTGATCACTTAAACTTTATTCTAGCATTGGTTGCATTTTATGTAACTACACAGAAGTGATGACAGGAGATGAGATATGGCAGGTAATAGAGGAAAATAAAGACAGAATTTTTATAAACAAATAACGAATATTATCTCTAGCTCACTTGACTGTTCTTCTTTCTTGGGAAATATTCACTCTGATAGAATACCTGCAGTCTAATGAATATCTTGATTCCAGGGTCAAGTTAATAGCATCTCCATTCAGGGTTCAACTCTAAACGAGCTAAAAAAGAAATGTACCTTCTTTTTGGAGACTAATATCGACATCATGTGGGGGTCTATGATATCATTTCAGTATATTTTTTGAGTACTTGAAAAATCCCAAAGCATAACCAAATATTTAAAAACCTACCTTATAAAGAAAAAAAATCACCTATCTTTAACATATTAAAATGGCAAAATAAAGAAATTATGCAAGGGTATCATTATGACATTGAGTATCTCCTAAAAATGCCTTTATGCTAGCTTTATTTTTTCCCCCAAGTTAAACAAGCAAATGCTTTTTAAGCCCCTTGTTTTCTTTTCATAAACAGACCACAAAACAAAACCAAAAATAAAATAAAATAAAAAATAAACCATTTCTTGTACAAGATGCCTCTTTGAAAAACACCCAAATGTGCCCATCAGGTACTTTAAATGGTTTGTCCAATCATCCAGTTAACATTAAAAAAAGTGCTTCATAGAAAAATGTGGTTGAGTTCCTTCACGAGCTGGCTTTTCATTTATCAGGAACATTTACTTGATTCTTAAAGCCCTTAGGAATACTTGTCTTTGAAAAAATATGAACTTTTGTAAATGGAGGGTAAAAAGTGAGTAATCCCAAATATTTACTTGTAGAATCAAATCTTTAAAAAGGAGCCTATTGCTTTTCCATAGTTACCAAATTGTCCTTTCTACAGTCTTTTTTCCCCTCAATGTCCATTTTCATTGTGCTTATGGCTCATTTTACAACCCTCCCTCCTTTTATTTCTTCTTCACCTTTAAGGTCTTCTACTGTCCTACATTCCCTTCTCCCAATAGAGTCGCTCCTTAACCTTACTGTAAACTCTCAGTCTTCTACTCTCCCAGTCCTCTAGTCTTTCAGTGTCCTACTAGCTTCACTTCTCTCGTTAGACACCTATGGCTCTCCTGATGTGTCATGCCAATAAGCTTCTACCAACATTGTCTACTCCCACACCCCACTAACCATCTTCCCCAACCATTTTACTCTTCCCCAACATGGAATAAACCCATCCATTTATTTCCTTCACATTTTTCTTGGGTTCCCAACACTCCTTTTTTATTTTATTTTATTTTTTTATTGAAGGATAATTGATTATTCATACTTGTGAGGTACAAAATTGATTATCAGTAGTTGTGTACAATGTGTGATGGTCAAATCAGGATAGTTACCTTATTCATCATTACAAGACGTAATCATTCTTTGTGTCTGTTAACCAATTTCTCATTAACCCCCCTCCCTCTCTCCCTCTCTCCTCCTCTAGTAACCACAGTTCTGTTCTTTCCTTCTAAAAGTTCAACATATTATTGTGATTGTTGTTTCTTTCTTTCTCTCTCTTTCTCGTTTATTTATGAATTCAGCTCCCACTTATGAGTGAGGACATGAAGTATTTCTCTTTCTGCACCTGGATGTTTTACTTAGCATCATTTTCTCCAGGCTCATCCATGTTTCTGCAAATGGCAGAATTTCATTCTTCTTTATGGCTGAATAGTATTTCATTGCTAACACCCCTTTTTAGAGAAAGTCACGTAAATATGCTGAATAGGACATTATAAATCTAAGATTTCCAACTTCAGGTGAAACATCAAAGGTACTCAATAATTTCTTTTGTCAGCCCTAGTCAATAATTTTGTCTTTGCTCACAGTCTTTTTTATTATGTAATATTTGAAATATACAAAAGAATGTATGTTTCTCACACATATACAATTGCAAATACATTTTATGAAGCACAACAACATTGGGGTTAGAAAATGATATAGGAAAAATTGTAAATATGTCCATTATGATATTTTAAGTGTTTTTTATTCTTTTATCAATATCTTTCTGTCTTTTTCAAGTGTTCTGTGTGGACTCAAATATGCTAGTGGTGCTAATTAGTATGGAAAAAGCTTTTAGGTATTTCAATTTTTATTCTGTAAATATCTTCATTCTTCTACAAATAATGCTTGGCAATCTCTCATTGACTTAACACTATATCCTCACTTCAACATGTATTACAGTTTAGTATTTAAAATGGAGATTATTTTTAAAATATTCAAATGGCTAAATAAATATATTATGTTATTAAGACCAGTGTAGATATTGGTCAGAAACCAAATTGATTTACATTTTCTGTAGTACTCCATTAAACTTTTATAACTCATTAATGCTCATCAATTCTATTAGCCTTTTTAAAAATAACTTAAATCTCTGAATGATAAACGTTCCTAATTTTTATTTACCTGCATTAGTCTCTCCAACTGGTAGAATTTGCAATGAAGATCTTCAAAGTTGTTTTTGTAGAGGTCTTGCAAACCATAGTCGTACATGATTTTCACCAAAACACAGAATGCTTGCTCCTCTGGCATCTACAGGAAAGTACACACATATAGAACATGACTGAATGGCATTTGGCCAGAACGTGAGAAAAGTTCCTTCATGTTATTAGTCTTCTGCATAAATGGCTGAAAGCCTGCTGTAAATGAAGTCCTTTAAAGCCAGCCTTCTGCACAGTGACATAGGTAAAATTGATGTTCAAAGCTTCTAGCCCTTCTCACTTGAGACGAATTGCCCTTTTTTGTTCATTTTAATCATGCTGTCATTCATTCCTAAGCCATCTTAAAAAAAAAACAGGTAATACAATCATGCGATTAAAAAATCAAAACAATGTAAAAGAATATAGAGGCAAAAGTCTCACTCTTCCCTATCTTATCCACACTAGTCCCTAGTACCTGTCCCCCTCATCTCTTTTGCATAACCTCCTAACTACTCTTGATAATAATTTCTCCTGAATCCTGCCAGTGTTTCTTTATGCAAATAAAATAACATTTTTTATTTTATTCTGCCCTTTCCTACACAAAAGATAACATTCCATATATATTGTTATGAATCTTGCTTTTTTACCCCTTAACAATAAAGTTAATATTTCTATCTCAGTATATAGAGTTGCCTCTTTATTTCTTTAAAACAGCTAGACAGTATTACATTATGTGGATGTACCACAGTTCATTTAACCAGTTTCCTATCAATGGATATTTCAGATGTTCCTAATTTTTGTCAGCAATAGCTGCAATAAATAACCTTGTATATGCATCATTTATTACATACACAGGGGTGAAGTAAGGGTAGAGCACAATCCCAAAAGAGGGATTGCTAGGTCAAAGGAAAAATGCATTTTTAATTTTGATAGATAGTGTGATACTGTCCTCCCAGAGTCTTCTTGATGTTGCTATTTTTCTTTCTATAAAAAACAGCTTTCGGGAAAGGATCTTATGAGCTTCTGTCATTAAGGTCTAAGTAACCAATAAAACCTAACATTTTAGCTCTCTCTGAGGTATTTTTATCTGAACAGAAAATAAAGACTCAAATCAAAGGAACAAATCTCTAAATTATGGTATCAATAAGGTGGAAGAATATGGACTGGGACATATCTAATATTCTAGAAATTACACCAAGCAGTCAGAAAAGGCAGTTGTACTTACTCCTCTGAGGTATTTTTATCTGAACAGAAAATAAAGACTCAAATCAAAGGAACAAATCTCTAAACTGTGGTATCAATAAGGTGGAAGAATATGGACTGGGACATATCTAATATTCTAGAAATTACACCAAGCAGACAGAAAAGGCAGTTGTACTTAGTGTTCTAGGAGGTAACTATCATGTACACATCTACTTTAAATGTCACTTCCTTGAAAATCTGAACTTGGCTGATTATGGTATTTCACACCTTTGTCAAACTAACTTCATGCCTGAATAACTGAATCAAGTAGAATTCTATTTACCCACTTAGAAATGTAATGGTTTATTTAAGTTTCTATACAAATCAGCCTCTTCTATTCTCTACTTATAAACCAATGAAATACCTAAATTAGTTAAATAAAATCTTCTGAAGTTACATAAGTACACTTCGCTGTTGTCATTTTGGTTCTCCAAATATTTGCTTATTCCTTTTTTATCTGTAGTTGTTAGAGGCCTTTTCGAAATTGTTGGCCTTTGACTTTAGCTATTCAAGTCAGCAAACAATTTCCAGCATCTATTCAGTTACTGAGAATACAAGTACACTATATTCTCTACTCCTTAAGCAATTCTGTCATTGATGCCTCAATGGACACTAAGTTGCACATACAGTATATGGCCTATAATACTTCTCTTACTACCAAGTTCTAAGCCTCTTCATCTTCCTCTCAGATCTCTACTCAAATGACTATACAGAAAAGCTGCATGTAAGATAACTATAGACAGCCCTAGAGAAACTAATTCACTTAACTTTCTAAGTGAATAATAATTAGTTGACTATAAAGGGGATAAGGCTTTTTTACTTGGTAAAACCATTAAAGCAAATAAAAGGCTTAAGTACCTTTTAGCATTCATACATACAATAACCGAACAGATGAGATACTGGCACTGTGCTAGGCTCTGGGGATACAGAGATAAAGATATACCACCTTCCCAAAGGATGAGTTAACAGGTAGAGTTTGGTAAGGCCACAGAAGTCCTGGGAAGGGGAAGCTGGGTATGTGGATGAGAAGGTGACATTACTACAGCTAGAATGTAAGTAAAGGAATGGGCCAGATCAAGGTGAATTATTCGGGATAATAATAGGGTAATGACAAATGAACACAAATTTCTGCTTATTTTAAGATATGGAACTTAAATACCGTATCTCTCCCCCCCTCTACCTCTTTCTTCCTCATACAAAGAAAACAATATATTTAATAAATGTTCTTCAAAAGTAAAATCATTTAAATGTTTAAACTTGATCCCTAAAAAATAAAAACTTGAGAATATTAACTGACAATTCCAGCCCATATCTTTATTTTTTTTCAAATACATCTATATTTGGGGAAGAGAGGTAGTCTAGATGTTAGTTCCCTTTATGTTTAACTTTGGCAATATAGCCAGGTTTTTAATTTTTAGTTAGTTTATGTGCCACATGAAAAGAGTACACTAAACCCACAAAATACCAGTCCAGCTGGGGTAGAATCAATGCTATCTGTGAAAATTAACATCAGATATAAGATGTTATAGGATCTAAGATGTTATGGGATCTCAGATATTATCTTATCATAAAACTCACTAAAATGATCCCTTGTGAAGACAAAAAAAGACTGCTAACAAAATGCGTGAGAAATTAATGGGAATAAGTTTAATCCTTTAGCAGGCTTCTCTTCATGGTTTGAAGATTAATGGAATCTATTTAGCATGTCTACTTAAGCTTTCCTGGTATTTCTCTTTCTTCAATTAATGAATTCATTATCAGCAGCAGCAATCAGGGAAAGCATACAAAATTTAGCAAAAATAACAAAGATTTTAAAAATAAAAACAAGTAGCTACAAATGAATAAAATATGACTGAAAAGCAAATGCTGATTGGCATTTACACTGCAAAGAAAAAAGGACATTCACATACTGAGTTGTAATAGTATTTTCCTTTTGAAGGATAAGACAATTCATAATTAAGGAAGGTATTATAGCTCAGTGCAGTGACAATATCAAGGAGTAAAGGCTGAGCCTAGATTTGTAGTACTGTATAATATAAAATGTATGATATGAAAAGATATTTTGGAAATTTTAAACAATATTTACTTACAGATGATGTCAGAAAAACTTACTGACGATAATAAATTATTAGCACTGCCAGTGCAAATAAACAGAATAGTAATAATTCCAATAACAAGTTGGGTAATGGGGCCCTGCATTGGTTATGTTTGGCCACTATCCATAACTCAGAGAATACTAGAAAATAGAATGGACTGGACTTGGGAAGTAATGTACAGCAGTGGTGTAGCAGCACCCCATTACACTATTTCTATCACACACGCACGTAAGACAGAAAATGTCAGCAGTCTCAAGAACATGAATAACAGTAGAAAGTGGTGAAATAGAAACTATGCAGTTTTGAATATTATTACTCTTCATGTTTAACAGAAGTTATTTAACTGTAAGTTTATATCATTTAATTTTTAACAATGGCTATGTTTAACAACTGGTTCACAAAATTCCTGAAAATTTACCAATTGGCTCTCACAAGCTGGCATGATCTGGCTCCAGCACAGTGCTGACACAGACCATGATGAAGAGTTAGGACTGTATTCTAAGTGCGGTTGGAAATCACTGGAGAGTTTTAAGCAGGGGATCATATTTTTATTTTCAGTAAGGTCACGAGCTACTATATGGAGAATAGATTACAGGAAAAGAAGGATTATAAATATGTTGGATTAGTTAGAACCTATCACTTTTCTTCTGTATGAAAGTGTAATCTACAAGAACCTATATTCAACTATTCCCCTCAAAAGTTGCCCATAAATAGATGGTGAATATAGAAAAGGTGCTTCAGTGGAAAAACATGGTTTTGGAACTATATTCCTAGACAAGCTTTTAGTTACTACCTGGGTAACCCTGAGCATGTAACCTCTCAATATCTCAGCTTTTTAGCTCTAAAAAATTATAAATAATAATACCTATGCTATAAAAATGCTCTAAAGATTAAGTGAAACATATGTGACACACAACATATGCATATCGTTGGTCATCTATAAATTTAAATTTCCCTCCTCTTTCTCTCCTTGAAGACAGAAACGATGTCTTACACATCAACAATTACCATAGTGCTTAATTCAAAAGAATAAAAAAATGCATGGGTAAAAATTTTATCTAATAAAAAATTACAAACATAAATTTTTACTATAAGGCCTTTCTACTATTTTAAAAAGGAAGCAGCAAAAATGTGCTGCTTTTCATATGAATAACAGCACTTCTTGTCACTGGGAAGAATGTCCCCCTTGTCCTACCCACTTTTTTAATAAGTCAAATAGTGACATGCTACACTTTCCAGGTTCTCCTTGCAGTTAAGGCATACGTAAGCCCAGGGTGGATGACTAAGTTGGGGTATACTATATAACACAGCTCTGCCTTTGAAATCTCACTGATCTTTTAAGGTTAATAATAAGTGGCACTTAGATCATGAAGTCTTTGCTATTCCCTTTAACCTGATGAGATCTTTGCTTTCTGTAAATCCCCCAAACTCTTTGTTGCATGCATTATAGTTATTTGTGGCCCTTAACCTCTGGATACTGCTTTATCTTTGTATCCTCCCCACAGCTCTTAGCATACAGCCCTCAATAAATTTAAAGCATTAAATATTTGTTTAAGACAACTTTAGCAAACTTTGAATATATCTGCCTTTATCAATACAGACATGCCACATGAGTAGGGCAATCTGCCAGTAATTGCTAAGGTTAAGAGACAACAAAATGTTGAAGGAAAGTATTGGTATAAAAGCTGGAAGCAAATGGCAGCCAAATGCAATTATATCAGTACTTGATTTCCTGTAATATTATTACAAATGCTAAATATAAGAAACTTTTATA